GTAGCTTTTTGAATCAGGGATGAGGGCAGCTCTGGGTCCTGTTTGGAGAGCAGGGACTGTCCTTGGCCTCCATCCTGGGAATCAGGCAGGGGATGCTCCCAACTCTGAAAAGTTTAAGCTTCATCTAATTTTAAAAGGGGTGTAATGAATGCTGTCCTTATCTGTAAGGAGATGTTTTTCTTGTCCTTAAATATATTGGTACCCTGAACAGTTAAGAGTAGGTCTTAGATCAGCAAACAAGTCTTAGTGTAACAGGGAGCCAGAGGACTTCTGTTACATTAAGAGGAAACTGGAGCAGGCTGAACTGGCTGCATGGAGTGGACAGCTTGAAAGCAGGCTAGCTACTAGGGAACTGGCTGCCAGAAAATAAGCAGAATAGTAGCCATGGAGAAGAGGATATTCCTAGGAGAAGTGGTTAGCCTAGAAAAGTTACAGAGCTATATGCAGAACTATGCCAGGGCAGGCATCTCAGCACCCCAGAAGCAAAGGGCTGCAGGCAGTGGAGTGAAGCCCTAGCAGGAAAAGCAAATTTGATTATCGGACCCAGAGGGGGAACACCTGTGTGTGGCTGTAGAGTCACGTGACTGGAAGGGGCAAGGCTGAGGGGATATGGAAAGAGAGTGCCTAAGAGCAGGCAGGCAGTCAGGCCCTGAAAGCCAAAGAGGGAAAAGCTCTGCAGCAAGCTGGTTATGGCTGAGATAATGCTGGGGGCCTGCTACACTTGGGACTGCAAGTGAAGAAGTGTGGAGTTGTGGGGGCGGGGGTATGGTGTGGGGAGGGAGCTACTTGAGGAACCAGGAATCAGAACAGGGAGAGGTGGGAACTCAGGAGTGTGAGGGCTGTCCTGTTGTATGTTTGCCTATCCTGATGGTAGGAGGGAGGTTTTTCTTTTAAAGCAGTAGCATGCTTTTTCTCTTTTGTTGATGTTTGTTCAACAAAAGAGGCAAAGGTTTGTGTTAAGCAGTTGCTTGCCATTTTCCTTTAAAATTGTACTGATGGGTTGGGCTTGGAAGTGTAGGGGAGGTGGAGGTCCTAGCCATGCCTGAGAGGCATGCAACTGCTTTGAGCCCAGCCAGGGGTGGGGCTCATATCATCAAAATGGAGATGGGGCCAGGGTCCCAGTGCCCAAGCAGGCCACAGACCAGCATCAGATACCCGCAGTCTGAGAAGGGCAAAACAATAAGTACCCAACAGGGGCAAGAACCAGGGTCATGGGCCTGTAGCCCAAGAGGGGCAAGATCAGCCCAGAAAGGCAGAGACCAGGGACCCAGCAGCTTACAAGGGTGAATTCTAGGGCCAGGGCCCCAGAGACACTGTTGACTGACAAGGCTGAAGCCATACACAAATCAGTAGGCCAGGACTGAAGGCTTGTAGCTAGAGAAAAGGGAGGCAGAAGCTGAGAAGATCTAGGCCTCTACAAGGGACAGAATGGCATCGAGTAAAATCTCTAAGGCACGGGCATGGCTGTAGGGGAGGTCAGAGACTGAATAGCCCATAAGGCAAGAGGTGCGCTGGGCACATAGAGGCCAGGAATGCCTAGTTAGCAGAGGCATACTGTAGGATTCAGGCAGTTGTCCTTTCAAAAATCAACCATTACATCAAGGCATGGCAGGCGAGTGTTTAAAAGCAGGGATCCAGGTTTTCCGTTTCCCACGGAAAAATGAAGAAAACCATAGATTTCCCCTTTTCATTAGAGAAAATGCAGATTTCTCCTTTTAGCAGAGAACCCTGTGGATTCCCTGCTCTTGCAAACAGCTCTGCAGGCTGGTTGAGCTCCAGCCTGCAAAAGCTGTTTGCAAACAGGGTGGGAAACCCTCAGCCCTGCCCACAGGGGGAATGGTGGGGCCTGAGACTCTGTCAGTCATGGCTCTGCTTGGCTCAGCTCAGCCTCACTCTTCTCCTGGAGCTTATGTGGTAAGTGCAGCTTGCAGGGGGCTGGGGCTTGCAGGTCATGGCTGGGGGCACCAATAGGGATGGGGGGAGCCACGAGCCGGCCCCGCCTGAGCAGACAGCAGCAGTAGGGGATCTGGCTCCATGTTGCTTCTGCAGCTGTTTGCTGTTGAGGGCAGGGAGCTGCAGACTTGGGTCCCTGGCAGCTGGGGGCCTCCTCCAGCAGGGCTGGGGGGGCAGGGGCTGTGTGGGGGGGGCAAGAGGCACGAGTAGGCTGGGGGGCTATTGGGGGGGAGCAGGAGCATGATGGGGGGAGGGCCTTTGGGGGCAGTGAGGGGCACCAGCAGCGCTGGGGGTGCTGCAGAAGACTTTTAATTTTAATAATGGATTTGGGGGGTTTTGTCAGAGAATTTGTGCGGGGGGGTTATCAGAGAAGACCAAGATCCCTAGTTAAAAGAAGGGTACCTAGAGCTAGGGCAGGACAATAGCCATTGGGCTGCCAGGGAGCAATACGGCTGGCCATGGGGCCCAGTCCTGCTACACTCAGCATAAGCATGACCCTGCTCAGGTCATTTCTTGGGATTGAATTCTGTGATCACTGGATATAAAAACAAAACTCTCCCCCTTCTGCTTGATCTAAGCAGAAAGGTCTGTGGGCTTGAAAGTAGACCCTCAACTCATTATCCCTCTCAAGCAGTTAAACAAGGAAACCCTTACTAAGCTAATAAGAGTTAAGCAGTGAAATCAGTTTCATTGTCTGACTTGAACATTAGTAGAAAAACTAAATAAGAAATAGCAGTTCCTTTCCCTTTACATGATTCACATGAGTAGGAGTAATAGGTTCATTTTTCACACCCAACTTTGTAGCTTTCCTATCTGATAATGTAAAACTGTGTTAGCAAAATGTACTAAATATTGTGACATAGTAATAACTATGTTTAGCTAGGCTAGAAAAAAATTGATAATTTGGTTTCCTTTATTGAATATACCTAAAAGCAATTACAACTTTTGACAAAAGTTAGTCATGTTGCTAAGGGAAGTATCTCTAGAACTGGCTGTCCGTTCTCCAGAGTCCTGCAGATCTTTCACCTGCATAAAAAACTTTTAAAGATGCAGAAAGAAGAACTTGACTGATTGGAAATAATATATAGCATACGTGTTTTCTGCTGAAGGAGGAGTCCTGTTGAGAAATTGTATTTTAATTAGTTTTTATGCCAATGGAGCTCAGTGCACTTAAGAACAATGTGCCAGAGACTCTTGCTGACCATTTTGATTATGGAATATGGTAGCTGTTTAAAAATGCGGCAGAGTGAATATTCCTATCTAAAACTACAGAGGGAGAAACAAGTAGTCACCCATATCAGAATTTAGTTGATGGGGCATAGCTGAAAAATAAACTTAAAACCATAAATAAAGATGGCATAGTGTCACTTACCACTTTGCACTAAGTGAAGTCATTTCCTGAATCTCCAACATGTCAAGTAACTTAAGTTATCCTTGTAGATCTTTCATTTATGTGAACTGATCTACTTGTTGCTAGCATCTGATGACAGCTCAGATCCTTGAGGTTACATAACTGCAGAATCAGCGATGCAGTCAATTACAGGCCTGAGCTACATGAACAAATGTCTGTTATTAGCAGGGATCTAGGTTTTCCATGTCTCACTGGAAAACGAAACCCCCCCCCCCCCCCCCCGCTTTTTCCTTTTTCACGCCCCCCCCCCCCCCCATGGATTTTCCCTTTTAACTGAGAAAAACGCAGGTTTTTAATTTTAATGGAGAAACGTGCGGATTTTCCACTTTTGCAAAGAGCTCTCTGCAGGTTGGCAGAGATCCAGCCTGCAAGAGGCTGAGGGGCACTCGAGAAGGGCAATTGGGCAGGGGGCACCATGTGCATGTGCTTGCTCCCACATGTGTCTGCCAGGCAGCCTAGAGAGCAGCTCCTGCAGGTAAGTCAGGAGTGTGGGGGATAGAGGCCTCCATAGGAAGGGAGGGACTGGGTTGGGCAGGGCTGGGGCTGCTGCCTGGCCCAGGCAGTGCGTAGGGCTTGGGACCTGGAGCCAGAACGTGCAGCCACAGGTGGGGAGCAGGACAGAGCCATGGGCAGCTCATCCGGGGGGAATGGCAGCTGGAGGCCTCCTCTGGCAGGGCTGGGGGGAGTTGGCAGGGCTGTGGGTAAGGACTGAGGGGTCTGGACCTGTGTCCTGGTGAGCGAAGGGGCAGAGGGAGCTCTTGATTTTTCATGATAAAAAACCTAAAATCAAATACCAAAATATATAAGTATTTATAATTTATTTTATTATAGTGATTGAGACACTGGTAGGCTTCCAAGTGTGTGTGTGTGTGTGTGTGTGTGTGTGTATAGATAGATAGTGGTGTTTCATTTTAATCATGGATTTTGTGTTTTTTAATCAGAATTTTCAAACAGAGAACCAGGATTCCTGGTTATGGATTGACATAGTGTTTATTAAAATACGGTGCATCACATTGCCAAATATACAAATTTGCGTAAACAACTAAATGCAACAGTCTTTATACAGTGTTTCTGTACAGTTTACTTTACATGTGGTTGTACCAGACAATAAGGGAGTTCTTTACTGAAGCCATGGGCAAGTGTTACATTTCTAGCCACCAGTCAAACAAGACCTTGGGAAGAAATTTCCAACAGCTTCTTGCCAATGGGAGGAGGTAAAAATTAAAGAGAGAACCTCTTCCCCATTTCGTTTTGTCCATGTGTTAACTGACAAGACACAGAACAGAGCCTGAAAACCTCGCTGTATTTCCAGTACCAGCCCTTTGTTCACAGAGGTTAGAACAGCAAAGGAGTGGAACAGATTGCCTAGGGAAGTTGTGGACTCTCCATCATCAAAGGTGTTCAAAAAGATGTTGGACAGCACTGGTCGGGCATGATCTAGGCCAGCGTTTCTCAAAACATGGGTCGCAACCCAAAAGTAGGTCTCAAGAATATATGAAAGGGTCACGAGCAAAGTTTAAAAATGGGTTCTCCTTTAAAGGAGAAAAACATAACTGTGGCTTTTCTCTTGTGGGCTCCCGCCCTGAAAGGCTTCCATGGGGGGCCCCCCCCCCATGCCCCACACACTGGGGTCTGAAGGTAGGAGCAGTGAGGGACACTGGGTCGGGACTGACCATCTATGTTTACAAATGGGTCCTGGTACAAGAAAGGTTGAGAACCGCTGATCTAGACTGGGGTGGGCAATTATTTGAGGCAGAGCGGAGCAACACGGGGCACAGCCCTTGCCTTGAGCCTCCCTCCCCTGTGAAAGGCAGGGACCCCCCCCACACACACAAGTGCCGGGAGCCCACTGTCACCGGCCCAGCCCCGGGGGAAAGCACCATCTTCCGACCCCGGCCCGGCCCTACCTGCCACGCCCTCAGCTGGGCAGGAGGCAGCAGAGGCAGACGACGAGGGCGAGCCCAGCTGCTGCACTGCCTCCGCGGGTCTGCATCACCGCACCGGGCTGGAGGGGGCTGGGGCCAGGTGGCACCTCGGGGCGCAGCAAGCACAGGCTCTGCCCAAGCCCGGGGCCGCCCCGCGCGGTGCAACCAATGCTGACAGCCCAGTGGGAGGAGGCACCTGCCCGCACCGCTCTGCCTCCACCAGTGACCCGGGGTCAGGCGGCCAAGCCGGGCTGCCTCTCACCTGCGGGCGGGGAGTGACGAGTCGCTCAGGCCAGGAAGCGGTGGCTTCCCCACGTGGTGCTAGGGATGGCAAGAGGCAGGCCGGGTCTGCACTCCTCTTCCCACGCGCACCGCGTCGGCAACGTCAAGCTGACGCGGTGCGTGTGGGAACCTTGTCCCTTCCCTAGCCCTTCAGCAGCCATTAGGAAGCTGCTGAGGGGCTGGGGGAGGGACAAGGGGCGTTTCCCATCACAGCACCATGGGCCACAGAAAATGCCTTGGTGGGCTGCATGGTGTCCCATGGGCCATATGTTGGACAAGCCTGCCATACACTGACACAGCATTTTTCTGTTCTAAAATTACATGGATTCTAGGGGCAAGCCTGTAAAACAGGTGTGCTTTGCATAGCTGCTTTTGCTTTTTGATATATTAAGTATACATGGTTCCTGTACTTAGTCCTCCCTAACAGCAGCCCCTCTTTCTTCAGTAAATCTTTAATCCTGAGTTAAAGCAAATATATGTGAGGTGCACAGAGACTTTTTGCTATCAAAGTGTTGAAATATGATAGCTTGCTCATAAATCTTCAGGGAGCAGCTGCTTTCGTGTCTCTTAAAAATTCTGCTCTATAGGGATGAGCCTTATACCAACATCAAATCTCCAAATTCTTGCTATTTTAAACCATAAAAGGAAATGTCTCTGATATCTAGGTGTTTGATATACCAGAAAGATTTGAATGAACGTTATTCTGCTTAAAGAGATACAAAGCTGAGGCCTCTGGAAGCTCTTTTCTTACATTTGCCTAGTGCATTGTTGAGAACTGTTCAGATCTGAGTTTAAAAGAAACTACAAAGAAGCTGTCCAAATAAACTCAAAAACAAAAGACAGTCCCCTAGAGAGTCGAGGCTTCTCTCAGTGGGGTGAAATATACTTATTGGCAAGGAACTGGCAGTTCAGTATACCATTCCTATGTGGCTTTCAGTTTTATGTGATTTACATAAATCTAAAAGTATCTTTGAGCATACATCAGTAACTATCACTGTGTCCAGTGGTGATCATTCTCCAACCTAGACCTAATTCTCTATTCTGTACATTAAATCGTACATCGAAGACTTTGATATTGACAAGTGGAATAGTTCCGTATGTTTTTCTTGAATGTCTAGTAATACCTCTCTAGCTCATCAACTCTTGTGGAATCAGGCAGGAGTGAGTAGATTTAAAGTAGTTGCCAAAAATGGTAGTTAGCCATTGTTTAGTTTTTCTTTTGAGGTCGGTTGAAAGAAAAAAATCATTTCACATCAAGCCTGTTCTGCTTATTGAGATCCAGTGCTGTTTCGATACCTAACTACAATATCAGGTTACAAAAGGAATTCATTGTGTTACTAGAAAAGTGTGTGCACATAATGGTAATCTGAGAACACCTGTCTTTTTGGTTCTGCTTTCCAGTCAAACATCATCATGCATGAGTCTTGTAGCCTTTCTACAATGCTAAGACTCCCTGTCCCTGTTATTAAGTGGGATCACGAACACGGAGATATCATCATAGGATGCTGGATTATTGTTTTCCAGAGTCCACTGGTGCCCATTTCTCATCCCCCTTGCTTTTTGTACCAGGCACTTAGCCAGTTCAGAAAACCTGCAAGAGGAATAGTAGTTAAGTTTGGGGTTATTACAAAATTCCCTTTGGGGACTATTAATACCGATTATGTGCTACGTCCCATCTCCGAATGACTATAGGTGTTGACAGATGTGGGGGGAAAAACCCCCCAAAAATGTGCTTTATGGGAAGAAGCAGGGTATTAGTTCAACCAAATTCCATAGTGTCTGTATAGATCAGCACTTCAGTGCTGCTTTTATCTAATAGCTGATTCAATCAGCTGTTAGGTAAAGCACCATAAAAGCCCCACTGAAGCACCTGATCTATACAGATGTTGTGCGAGCCGGGTCCAACTAACACAATGCCTCTTCTGGGCATGTCTTCAGCTTGGTGCAGGGCCTGTGGAGTTTAAAGTGCCAGGTAGTTGTTTGTTTGTTTGTTTGTTTTTTTGGGGGGGGGGATGTTTTTGTTTACATCTGTAAGCAGCCCTAGAGCCTAACTAAATCTTTATGAAGGAGGCAAGTTTAACAGTACCATTCCATATCAGAGGAAGAAGTCAGTTCTACTCCTTTATACACATTAATCCTTTTCATTTCCATTGGGACCACAGCTCTCTGTGCAGCCTTCAAAGAGAAGGTTAAGAAGACTTGAGAATTGTACATGTATCTTCAGAGTTTGCATGTGAAGTTTAGCCATTGGGAATAAAGAGGGAGCCCTGATGACTACTGGGTAGCCAATCACTTAACCTAACTGCACTGGATGATGGTGGAGAAAAATATTTCAGAAAACAGGGGGACAATAAGCTAGTTTGGTCAGCTTATCGAAGTTAGTGTCACTGTGTTGAGTTTTAGTGCCTGCATCAATATGCTACTGAGGAAAACTGTCTTCACTAGCCATAAGCAATACTCAGAGTTAATGGAGCTGAGTGTGATAGTAGTAGATGGAATGGACTTATTACCTGTATAGGTCCATTTTGTTGTCTTCAAGAAAGCTCCTGACAATCTGGGCAACCTCTTCATTGGATAGAATCTCCCAAAGGCCATCAGTTGCCAGGACAAGGACATCGTCTTCCTTAACATCATTTAGAGCAAAATCAAGCACATTCACCTAGAGAACAAAGTTATTTCTTAGCTATATTTTCAGTCAGCTATAGATGCATAGAAATGTTCAGGAAAAATCCTTGCTTTCATGGTGATTGGCTTTAGAAAATGTAAACAAATCCTATTCTGATTTTCCTATTGAAGGGTGGTTATCCTCAGCGAGCTTCTTAATAGCAGTGGCAAAGGTGTCTCCAGGAGGGTGGGCTTAATTGCTCTACTACAGTTAAGTACCAGAAGACTGGTTGAATCCCAGGCCATTATAAAGGGTCTTTTTTAAACAAACTAGACCACTTATACTCATAGGCACCAACTTTTTTTTGCTGGTGGGTGCTTGCAGGCTTAAAAAAGAAGGCACTTTACTTTTAACTCTGTGTGTTCCTGTGCCAAACCCCATACATGCCCAGAAGAGGTGGTGTGTTACTTCTACCTGACTCCGCAGCATCTGTAAAGATCAGGCACTTTAGTGGGGCTTTTTTGTCACTTTTATCTAATAACTGGTTGAATCAGCTTTAGCTAAAAGTGCCAAAAAGCCCTGTTGAAGCACTTGATCTTTACAGATGCTGCAAAGCTGGGTTGAAGTCATGCACTGCTGCTTCTGGTAAAGCATGTTTTTGTTTGTTTGTTTTTAACATCTGCAAGTGTCTCTGTGGGTGCTGAGTGCACACAGTTTTTTTTTTTTCCCAGTGGGTACTTGAGCCCCAGAGCACCCATGGAGAGCCATAATATGGGTGAGCCTCAGACCTGGGTACCCATAATATGGGTGAGCCCAAGGCTTCTCTGAAAGATGCTGAGATCTTTTCCGGTCTCTTCTCTGTACTGGCACCTGTTGGCAACTTTGGATGAATCCCACCACATTGGAAGGAAGCTTTGTAGGATTCAAGCTGATATACAGTTGGGAATATGGTAGGACTGATTCCTGTTGCCTTAGAAAAGAGGTTCTATGATTCATTAATTTGTAGAGCCAGATTATTAAAGTAGGTAAGAACTGTCATTTACTGGGTCAGACCATAGGTCCATCTTGCCCAATATTCTGTATCCAGTGGCAAAGAGAGGATGCTGAAAGGGAGAGTGAACTGTGTGTGACTAAGGTTTTTTCCACTATTCCTTTCTCACTTGCAGCCTCCAGTATTTAAGGTCTAGAAAGTTCTGGTTCAGAGGCTGTATCCCTAAGTTCCATGCTCAATAGCTACTGATGCCCCTTTTTTCCAAGAATTTTTCTAATTCCTTTTTGATTCTGATTAAACCATCAGCTTCCATGACACTGGAAGATGTTACAGCACTAAAGCTACTGTTACTGCCCCTGCCAGCTCTTCCTCTGCTTCTAACCTGTGTAGGCTATTCCTGCCAGGAGCCTGCATCTAAGATGTTACACAAAGGTTGCTGAGACTTATCTGGCATTCTGATTACTACTCTGTGCTGCTCATCCATGTTGGCACTGTTGATGCTGCCAGGAGCGAACCTGAGCAGATCAAAAGTGACTACAGGGCTCAGGGTGAAGGGGATGGGGGTTTAGGTGGCACTTTCATCAATCCTTCCAAGTCAGTAGTAAAGGCCCAGACAGGAGCAAATGCATCTTGCAGATCAACACATGGTTGCAAAGAGGGTGCTGCCAGTGGGACTTCAGTTTCTTTGACCATGGAGTGGTGTTCCAGGAAGAACTGAAAAGATTCAGGGTCATCCTGACAATGAGGTGTAAGAGTGTCTTTGCATACAAGCTTGCTAACCTGGTGAGAAGGGTTTGAATTTGGGTCCACCAGGGAATGCCCCCCCCCACCAAGGTAAGTAAAGAGCCAGAGGATCTGGATTAAAGCCATGTAAGAAGATGCTACAGGGGAAGCCTTAACAATGTTCCCAGAGAGGAATTGTGGTAGTCTGCTAGTTACTTAAAATGTTTGTACACTAATACAAGAGACATGGGAAATGAGCAGGAAGAAATGGAAATTGTAGTACAATCGGGGAATTATGATACTATTGGGATAAGAGACTTGATGAGAGAGTTCACACAACTGAAGTACCATTATGGATGGGTATAAATTGTTCAGGAAGGACAGGCAGGGGGCAAAAGGAGATGGTGTTTGTCTATACATAAGAAACATGCCTGTTCTGAGCTGCAGTACAAAGTGGGAGGTACTCTTGTATTCCCCTGGGTCCAGGTCAGAGGGGAAAATGGTAAGGGTGATGTCGCAGTGCGTATCTGTTAGACCACCAAACCAGGAGGAAGAGGCAGACAAGGCTTTCTTTCAACAACTAACTAAAGTTTCCAAATCCCAGCGCTTGAGCAACATCAACTACCATGACATCTGCTGGGTAGGTAATATAGCAGTACACAGGTAGTCCATCATGTTCTTAGAATGTGTCTGGGATATCTTTTACTACAGATGGTGGAGAGGCCAGCTAGTGGAGAGGCTCTACTTGATTTCCTGCTCACAAACAGGGAGGAATTGGTTGAGAATATGAAGGTGGATGGTAACTTTGGCAACTGTGACTAAGAAATGATAGAAGTTCAAGATCCTGAGGGAGGGAGAAGAGCAGTGGTAAACAGTAGAGCTGTGCAAAGCTTTGGGTGGTGATTCGATTCAGAGGAGATTTGGTCCGATTCGGTGGCCAAATATCCAAATCGAATCAGGGGACCAATTAAAAGGTCCAAATCGATTCAAAGCTCTCTGAATCTTCGGCAAAGATCCTGAGAGCTTTGATGATTCAGACAGTACCTGGTGGCTGCAGCAGGGAGCTGCAACCACTCTGAGCTGGTAAGTACTAGGGACAGGGAAGTGGGGCTTAGGGAGAGGGGAGGGGACCATAGGGGGAACCCTGCCAGCCCCCCCAACTCCCGTCTGTGTCCCCAGCCCCCCCATGGCTGCCCCTGCCTGCCCCAGCTCCCGGTACTTAAAAAAAGCCCCAGTGCTCACCAGGTGCTGCCAGGCGGCTCCCCTTCTCCCCTGGCCCCCGCATGGCTGCCCCACCTTCCAGGGCTCTGGCTCTTTAAGAAAAAAAAAAATCCCAGAAAAGCCCCAGGACTCACTGCTCCTGGTGCAACCCCGGGGCTTCAGGGGCTCATGCAGAGCCAGCAGGGGGCAGCAGGGATTGCCCCGCTGCTGGCAGGAGTGGTGAGGCCCAGGGGTTCTTCAGGCTTTTTTTTTTTTTTTTTAAAGGGCCGGAGCTGGCCCCTGTCACAACCCAGGGATTTTGGTGCCTCGGCACAATGGAATTTTTCCGCCACATGAGAGCCTCTTGCACAACAAAGGGTTTTTGTTGCAACAGAAAAACCTTGGTGCAAAAGAGTTCCCGCCATTTGAATGCAAATTTGTGTCCCGCTATTGGCCAGTTCTAAATTATTCCTACGTGGCGGCTAGTAATTGGCTTGCTAGCCATTTAAAATTTTGTGCGACTTCCACCCAAGTCGGAGAACTTTGAGCATGCTGCAGAGTGCCTCTAAAGAGATCTGACTTGCGGCTAGCTGATTGATAGA